AGTATTTAAGTTTTCTAAAATGAATAAAACTATTTGCCAAACACTTCAAATAAATTGTACTAAACAAACAACATATGTTAAGCATACTTTGGGTTGTATAAAGTATTAAACATATAAATATGTTTCTAACGATACAAGGAACGATAGCGTTTATTCCTTATGTTTCTGTTAAGAACTGACGCTACTGACCATAGAAACATTTTAACAAGTCATTGACTTGAAATGTGTTCAACAATACTAACATAAATTGTGAACAGGTGAAAATTAAAGGTTTTCGCATACACAAACACTTACTGCTAATTTTTATACAGTCGGTAGACGAATAGTACTTGAAGAATTTTCGTTAAATATTAGTATATTTCATTATTACATAACATAACAAAACGTTAACTTCTCATTTAGGATTAATAGTAGAAAGAGTTGGTCTCCAAATTAGAGGTAATAAAATTAACTTTATTTTGATCGGTTTTAACCCAAAAACCGAAAACAATGAACAAACCAACTTTAAAAAAAAAAACAGACTTTTAAAGATTATAACTTGAAATTATCTGCTAGTTTTATTACACGTCTCCACTTTTAGAACAATCGGTAAATATTCGATTCTCCTTATTCTATCTGCTGCTTCAACTCCAACAAATGATGGGTTCTGACATCCGTACCATAACCAAACTTTTTAATGCGATTTTGTGGAGTCCAATGTACAGTCTTTTTTATGGGTTTCTACGGAAATATTTTAACATATGGAAACAGCTTAAAGGAAAATTGTGTATTTTGGGTGAAAATTGTGTGACGTTTATAACGTTACATGTTATAAGAATAAAAATAGAGGTCGATGTTCCAGTTGGGATCTAAGCGTAGTAAAGAAAATAGCCAAATTTAGGGAAAGGAGTCTCATGTGCCAAAAAAACGCATAAAAAGGATCCGAATGTTTAGATCATGATTAATGGATTTCAGTTATTTGTTTACTTAGTTGAAGGATTACTGGTCGTGCAGCATTGAGATAATTTTTGCAATTACGAAATTTTTATTACTCTTTTAAAACGTTTATATATCCAACATTTTATTGAACAAACTGAACAAAAAATGGGAAAAATATTCTCTGTTTTACGAAATGTTACGTATCTGATCTAATTAAATTTACCTCTGTAGTGCCCAATGTAAACTAGAAAATTGCTTTATAGCAAATGTTAGTCGTCACGTAATATTTATGACGCTGTTGTTAAGGCACTAAAATCAAACTGTGTTTAATATATGACATTTCGTACATTTACTGGCAGAGGAAAGATGCTTTGATTTATTTGGAGCGTCCACAAAGTCTAGCGCTCCGGTATTCGTAACATTCGGACTGTTAAGCATATATTTATGAAGTACTAATTGAAGACACAAGTGCATGAAGGGTCTACGTGACATTTGCAAGTTATTGAGAAAAATAAAGTTCAAAGTTTTTATACTAGAAATTTTTTAGTACAAGATCTAAATAGACTAAATTTATAGAATAGGCAGTCCTAAAACTAATATATTTATTAATAATAATAAAAAAACATTTATCATTAGAAAATATTTTAGAACTTAACCGTACTTAGATCCTTGATCCATTGAGTAAATAGCAAAAGTACCTAATTGTTTAAATGCATGAAGGATAACCTAACCAATAACAAAAATAACACAGTATATTGGTATTGTTTATTAATAAAATATACAATAACTATTTCTTGGTACAATTTTTACAAAGATAGTAAATCAAATTTAAAAAAAAAAAAAACTTGATTTTCACTACAAAGAAACCTTAACGTGTTCTTCGCCTAGTCCTTGGTTTTCTGCCTAGATCTGCAGCTTGTTGCTATTCACAAATAATGTGTAAAAATGTCTATAAGCCTTTTACTATTTTTCTTTTTTCTTTGTTAGAATCCTTTTTTCTGTTAAATAAATGTAAATTGTTTACAATTTCTTTAATATTTTTAAAGTGGTTTTCCATGTTGATAACAATCGATCCCTTCTTACTCGATTTCCGAATAACGTCTCTGTACTGATCTGGAATGAACACATTCCCAATTTTTCTTAGCTTTTTCTCGATTACTCCAAAATCGATCAGAATTTAGGAAGGAATGTCCTATTTCCGGAAACTTATGGTCTCTAACCTTAACATATTTTTTTAAAAATATGTTGATATAGACATATCAGATTAAAGTTTTTGTTCTGGCCAGCACAAGAATCCGACCACAAGATAATCTATTTTCTTGTTCTTACTGGATAACATTTGTACAAATGTGTGCAGAGAACTACCTACTTCTAAGCTTCCCTTTGTGGCTACATTTTCAGTCCAATTAAAAAAGTAAGCATTATCACCTTCATTTGTTAGGCTGTGAATTCCAAGATTGTAGAACCGCATCTGCCTTAGTTAAAAAGCTTTTGAAGTTGTAAGTCTTGGTAGTGACATAGTCTGTTGCAGGGCTATGGCCATATAACATATATGTTTTATTGTCACGCGCATATTACCTGTCTGCTTTCTGTTAGTCAAAACCTTAGCAAAAACCTACTGAAAACCTTTTATTCAGTTCATTTTCTTTGATATGTTGTTCATATACTTCGTGCATTTTTGACATATTTAGTAAGGGAGATAAATAGATTTTGTTGGCATTTTTGTTTCTGGAATATGAGACATGCCAGCAGGAAAAGATAAAATGTGCCGTTTAATTACATCAATTAGGTACTTCTTGCGGAATTTTGTTAGGTCTCGAATTGTGATGCCCTCAGAGTTTAGTTTTTGTTGAATTAGTTGAACATTTTTGTTCGAAATTTGATACAATGACATGAAGGCAGTTTTACAAACAAATCTTATGCTTTTCTGACAGATTATTGAATAACTGAATGTGGCAGATTTATTGTTTGTTGCATTTTTTATGACGATGAACTGACTTTATTGAAATAGACTTAACAAGTACAGCTTTTTTGCATTTTAATCCAAAACATAAAATTTGCGAAATATTTGTCTCTCTCTCACTTTGGTCAAATTTTTGGTCGCAATTTATTCTTTTTACATGGAGACTTAAGCTCAGAATTTTTTTTATGGATTTTCTTTTTTGTTTTTTAAAAATATATTTAAGGTTCACCTCGTTGTCTAACAATGGCACTATTTAATTTATTGGTCTAACTTATTTTTCTTCCAGGTCTTAGGGCGCCGATTTCGTATTTACATTTTTTTTCTGGTAAATCAAATATTTTTTTCTTTATCTTGGTAATTCTAAACTTCTGAGAGCTTGAGGCTATCATAGATACATCTGGAGAAAACGTGAAGGTTTCTTTTGCGGTGACGTCTGATTTTGTGAAATCACTTCCATTCTCTAAACTAGTAATGTTCTCAAGACTCATCTGACTCCTCCAGTTCAGAATTTTCCGGATTATATTCATCAGTGTTATCAGATGTAGAATTGTGTCATCATTCTAGGAAAGATCTGGAGTTTTCTCTTTTTCAGTGAAAATTGCAGCATTATCTGAAAAAAAATACAGAACGTAAATATATTTTTATCTACAAAAATGATAAGCTAATATTACCTTCTGGCCTGCTTTCGTCATCTCCATCTTTTAACTCCATATAATGGCTTGTTTGATTATTATCGGGTAAATCCAGTCCTCCTTTCTTAACTCCATTTTCCTCATCTGCAACTTTCAGTTCTACATACTGGTTCGTTTCATTTGCCGTAACCTCATTTTGTTTTAAATTGACTTTGCTTTTTTGGTTGATCTAAGAATACCTATGTAAGAGATAAAAAATATTTTTACAATATAAATTTTAAAAAGAAATAAAAAATACTAAGAAATGTTCATATAAACAAGAAATAACCTTAAATGACCAATCACTTTTAAAATGGCCTTTGGAACATGATACATACAATATATTTACTTTTAATAATATATTTACTTACCTTTATATTGGTTTGAGCTAAAGTAACAATGTATTTACCTTATTTTTGGGATATATGGACATTTTTTCCATAAGATTAGCAAGAAAAACAGAACACTGCACACCGCCTAGATGTAAATAATAAGTACATAACCTTACTTTTAGGATCTAAGTGATATATGACAGAAGGAGAACATCAGTGTATTCAGGCATAAAGAATCCATGTACAACAAATCCATAGCAATCTCAGTGGATAAGGGATATAAGTAACATATTGTGTACATAGATCCTTTATGCGCCTACATTTTAAAATTTACTGTGTACATAGATTCTTTACACTCTATAACTTACAGTAACTAACAAGCAACTCTTAATTTTAAAACGTGTTTGACTTTTTTGAAAGATTTCTAGGTTCAAATAACGTACTTTTAACATAAAAACAAATTTTGAAAAAAAAGTGTCACATAGACCAGATGCAGTTGTGTCTTCAATTACGAGTTTGGTTTAATAAAGTATCAGTGCCTGTAACAAGTCACTTTGGAAACGTGTGAAAAATATGTTTATGTGTCATAAAAGCAAAAAGATTAGAATAGCTATTCTGATCATTAAAATTCACCAGTACATATATTCAAAAAGACAAGAGTCTTGCGACTAAAATAAAACTTGTAGGTCATGAGCTGATTGGTGTCATACAATCGAGTAATTTTTATTTTTGGCGACTAGTATTTATATTAATTTAACTGTAAAAGAGGTAAAAAAGTTAAGTCAGATATTTTTATTATTATAATGTATTATTTTTGTATTCTTCTTCCTAGGTAAAACCAACAAAATTCTGACGCAAAGGAACGCGTCTTCTACCGATATAGTACCTTAAGAAAACGTTTTGTGTGATAACATAATGAACTTTAGTATCGTCATAAGTACATCATAAAATTGTGATAATAAGTGACTTATCATTTTTTTTATACATATGGATAATGACCGTTGTTTAAACACTCGATTTAATTTTTAATTTATCGTTAATAACTTTGCGAAAACGGAAACTCTAGTGTTTCTCGGTAAAAAGGGATATCCCTCTATTATACAGGGTAATCCCTTAATGATGAAACGTAGATGGTCGGGTGTGCAAGCCATAAGAGTACCATCTTCGGAAGAAAGTAGCTCAGAAGTTACCTCATCAACGTTAGTAATGTCTCCTGCAAACTCCCTAGCGTCTACAGACATTGGCGATGTCGATCTCGAATTTTTCGATCTGGATCTGAATCATCAAGGACACAGGAATCTCATTTTACAGAACGGGTACGGGATTGCAATCGCTGGACATACGCTGGCTAAAAGTGATACGAGTTCGATGTCAGGTAAGATATTATCAACAACTTTTCTTTCATGGCTCACTTAACGGTTGAAAAGCTGCACATTTACTTGGTAGAATGTTTGGAATAAAATAATAAACACCAAGTGGTAAACATGCAAATAATGTATAACAGACAAGACGATTCAAATGATAAATATGTTGATTAATGTACTTTGGAAAAAAGATTATGTTAACAGCATATTTTAGATACTTCAAATAATGCCTACTTGTAGATAAAATATGTTAATATTTTTAAACCCGCACATGGATACACTAAACAATAATTTTTGATTGTACGTACCATTTAAAAAAAAAATACTTTTTGTAGTATGGCTTCAAGTATAATAATTTTATAACTTATTTCGTAAGAAACTCCAATTAGCTCTAATTTACCAATTAATTTTATTTTCTTGCCAGTATTAATGTCAATGTTATTTTCTCAACAATCCATATCCTTGACCATAAAGGGGTGTGTAGTACAAGGGTAAGTAATACTATGTTAATTCGGCGATTGTTTTAGCATTATTTGTTATATGTAAATTATATCAGGATGATCTTATCTTACTTAAAGTGACCAATTGTCTGTGTAACGCTTTTGTGATCAATTTGAGCACATTTTCTTTTAGTAGAATAAGAATAATATCATACTTAATACTTTCAAGCATGCGTAGACTTACATTAAGAAAGCATAAATATTTATTTTTCTCTGGAAAATATTCTGTTGTAAAGATTAGGGAATTCGCAAATTTTAAGTGGATGCGTTTCTTATTGGCAGTACCAGTATATGTATATTATGACAGTTTTAATATACACGTCGAAATTTAAGTCCTCGTTAGTCTCAAACGACGCAGACGTTACGTCCTCTAAAACAAATCTTTTTATTTCAGTAGATACGATCCATTTCTCGTATACCGATTTTTCTATCATAAAAAAGAAATAATGTGTCATTGCCATTGTCATAAAGAACTTGGATATTTATCGCTAACTTTTTTATGCCATTGTGTGTAGTTGTTAAATCAAAATAATATTCTCGTAATGATCCCAGTTAGTTTATTATACAAGGAAGGAAACTGTGTCAGCCATTCAGGTAAAATGGATTTGCCTGAAATCCTAGCTTAATAAATTCCACCAAAATCTTCCAGAATCTGATAATTAAATACGGTAACAGAGAAATAAAATAAGGATGCAAGGCTAATAAACAAAAATACTATCACAATATATGTAAAGAAATTCACGAGAGAGTCACGATCAAAACAATCAGCCAAGAGATCTATTTAGAAAAATACGATACATAAAAAGAGACTTTAAAGCCAGAACTTGGGCCGTTAAAGACCACACAGGAACTTTGAAAACCAACCTGAGAAGATATAGCAGAGACATTATATTGTCGGGATCTATATAAAGATGATCAACGCCAGGAACTTGTTTATCAATCCCCTGAAGAAATTGAAGAAAAGCTAATATACTTGAGAAATAAATAAAATTGGCGATCACTAAATTCAATTATAACAAAGCACCGGGTCCACATATGATAACAGCAGAAATGCCCAAAGCCACAGAAGAAACCGGAATAAAATGACTTTACTTGCTATATCTCATATGCCAGCAAAATACTGCTATACATAATCAATGAGCGACTCAAAACTTTCCTACAAAGAGATTTTTTTTGTTTTCTTTTTTAAACTATTCTCTATCCTTCCATTGTTGGATATAGGTCTCCCCCAGTTCCCTCCATCTTTCCCTATCTTGAGCTGTTCTCTGCCATGTGGGACCTTCTTGTTTCCTGATGTCATCTTTCCACCTCATCTGTGGTCTGCCTCTTGATCTCTTTGCATTGTATGGACGTCACTTTCCGATGGCACTGTTCCATCGTCCGTCTTGGAGACGTTCATTGTGTCCAGCCCATTTCCATTTCAGTTTTGCTGCTTGTTCTATCGCGTCTACTGTCTTTGTTCTGGTCCTGATCCACTGGTTACGTTTTCTATCTTTAAGTGATATACCCAACATTTGTCTCACCATCGCTCTTTGTGCCTTCCTTATCCTATTTAAATTGTAAAAGCTGTGTAAATGTCCATGTCTGTGCTCCGTAGGTGAGCACCAGTATTATACAGGAGTTATATACCTTGAGTTATATACAAATACTCCCACTATATACCCCATATCCCTCTATACGCTCGTTTTTTAGATTATCGCAAAGCGTTCGACAGGGTCAAATAGCAACATTTGTGGTAAATACAAGAAGTAGGCGTACCACAACACTTAATTTCGCTTATAACTGAACTAAACGAATACACTACTGGAACAGTTGTGCTTGACACACTCAAATGAATATCATCGAGAACAAGGTGTCAGGCAAGGATGTATACTGTCTCTACAATTATTTATTAGAGAAGCGCTTGAAGGATCGGAAAAGGGAATCTCAATAAATTATAAACAACCTACGTTTTGCAGATGACGAAGATCTTCTTGCAAATAGCCAAGAACAGTTAGTTGATCTCATACGACTGGTTGAAAATAAAAGTCAAATATTTGATCTACCGTTAAACATATCAAACGCAAAGATCATGATAGTGGACATACTGCATAAAAATTATTCTCACATAACCATGATTGACCAGTTTGAGGTTGTTAGCCTATATTTATATCTGGGATCATTGATCACAAACACAGGGACACTACAGGAAGAAATAAAACTTAGATGTAATCTAGCAAACTCGCAGTAGAAAAGATGGCCGAAACACGGAAGGACACTCAAATTTCACGAACTCTAAAATTCCCAATACTGACAACATATGGATCGACCACAGGACAGCTAATTCAATTTTAAATCAGCTAAAAGTCAACAAACGGATCTTCAGCAAAATCCATCGTCAAAAATTAAAATACTTGTTATGAGTCTTGTTATGAGAGCAGATACAGAATACATGGAAAGACTTATTATCCAATAAAAGATAGAAGGCCGAAGAGCACGGGAAAGATCTCTAACAAGATCTATGCATGAGTTAAAAGAACAATACACGACATCACGATGACCACTACTCTCCCTCCGGGGGGGAGGGGTCAGGACTGAAGAAGAGGGAGAGATACGTTAATGAGTTGACATGATTATTTTAAACACAAATAAATGATTGGTTATTCTAAATATATATAACTTTACAAATCTACTATCTAAAATAAGCAAGAATTACTGTCCAAATCCAAATATTAACTCTTCTTATTTCATTAACGATTCTGAGCATATTCCAATGATTTTGGAAAGATGTGTTTTGTTAATTAAACGTTGCTCATTTAATTTAATTGTATTGTTGAACATATTACAAACTAGTAATGTGTTTGTTGTTTTAATTGTTTTTTTCAACATTTGACTATGATCTAGTTGTATTCTACAGTTTTCACCTTACTTTTACTGGTGTCAAAAACAAAGATTTGAATGGTTGTTTCGGTCTATTTATTTTTCCGTAATTTTCAATTTGAATTACTAAAATATCTATTTTGTATCATATTAACTTGTCTATAATTATTTAGTATAGTGATCACAAATTTATTTTTAATTCGCTTTAATTTATATAAACACATTTTTGGTGGAATGAAAGGGCCAAGGTGGCTGGAAGCTACCCTTTGAAATGCCGAGATTTCTCTCGAATGTTTACAAATGCATTTAGTTCAGAGTATTTCCTGTAAGGAGGCACCTCTGGGGCACCTTTTTGATCCTCTGTTTTCAAGGGATATACATTATTTCAAATTCCATGAAAAGTGGTCATGGCGTCTGTATTTTGGGCATAGTTCTCAATAGCTTCATTGAAAACATCCAAGAATAAATTTCTTAGATATATTTTGTCTTCCTTTGTCAGTTGTAATAAAATGTGGATTAGAATTTACTGCGAAGAAACTTTTATTTTTATTCCTTAACTTTTAAATTCAGAGAACATGCCAAAGTCTAAGTAAGAATTACTGTTTTCTTTTTTTAATGTGAACCGGATAGTAGTATTTTAGAAATAAAATATTTAAAACTTAACTATCCTGTGAATGCCTAAATTTTTATGTAGGAGAAACCACAAAATCACTAAGAGTCTGGATAAATGAGCATGAAACATACATCAAAAACAGAGACTTTAACAAATCACAGATGTGCAAACATTTCTGGGAAAATGAGCACAGTACAATGAAAAGATGCATCAATAGTTATGAAAGAAATAGACATGAAAACGAGAAAAGTCAAAGATGCGGCCCTCATCCTACTCAACGAAAAAAATGGGTAGCAAACCCATCAGCAGAATGTAGCAGGCTTTGGTGCCAATACTAATAGAATTCAGCAACAAGAACGTATCAACATTATCGGGTTAATAGAAAGTCAGATACACATAACCTACAATTATACATAATACATCTACAAGACACCAAACATAACCTCTAATACATCTAGTTTTTTAAAATTGTATGAAGCCATGGTATGACATTTAATGTGATTTAATATATGTCATTGTATAGTTGATAGATTTTCTGATAATCCATGTTTTTAAGTAATCCCATCTACCAATTAATTAACTTTTAACACATCTTTGTTTAGATATCTCTTTTAATATCTTTAGAAATTGTAATTTTAGATGTAAGATTTAACTCTATTTTTATCGATTTCCTTTGTTTTCCTATTCCTATTTTGTTTTCTTTAGGCTCTAACTATATTATTTTTTCTTGGTCACAGTAGGTTATCTTATGTAATAATGTTTCAAATTCCTTTTTCATTGATATCTATTCCAACTCGTACCTTTCTTCATCAGACATTCTACAAGTAGGTATGAATTTTCCATTGATTAACCACTTTTCTTGTACAGTTTTGCATTCTTTACAATAAATTATGTTTATTTAAATCGTTCTTCCAATTATCTTACATTTAATGGCTTACAACCATATATGTGAACTGGCCAATTGGTTGAGTAATCACTACATTCTTCCTTTAAACATTTTAAGGCAAAAAGTAGCACATCCCAAGTTCAATTAGTTGTT